ATCTACATCTATATATGAATACGCCACAAGAAATTTTGCAATCCCTTTTTTTGAAGGCACCGTTCGCTCGATTTCAATGAAACATATACCGATTTCAAGGATATAACTTCCTCTAATCCAGAAATGTTAATACCGATATATAGGGGGCGTGGCATCTGACATATACGACTAAAATGTGAATACCACTATATCTCTAAAACGAATTATGGCTGGAGAACTGAAACTTAGCACAGATGCATAGATTGTAAATACCTTACTTACGGTGAAATATGGTAGGTACTGGGAAAGTGGGCGTGGCACCTCCTATACAAACTGCAATTCTCATATTGCTTATCTCTGGAACCGCTTATGCTGACGTCCTGAAATTTAACACAGCAACATTTGTTGTCAATACAGTACTTACGGCGAAGAGCGGTAGATTTTTGAAAGGCGGGCGTGGCACCGCCCATACAAATTGAAATTCTCATATCGCTTATCTCTACAACCGCTTATGTTAACGTCCCGAAAATTGACACAGCTACATATGTTGTCAATACCGTACTTTCGGCGAAAAGTGGTAGATTTTGGAAAAGGGGCGTGGCACCGCCCATACAAACTGAAATTCTCATATCTCTGGAACCGCTTATGCTGACGTCCTGAAATTTGACACAGCAACATATGTTGTCAATACCGTACTTACGGCGAAGAGTGGTAGATTTTGGAAAGGAGGACGTGGCACCGTTGTTTGACATATTAGTCAGTGATGAACATCTAATCTATATATACAAATACATATGCATATTTTTTATAAATTAAAATCGAGGTACCTTTTTCGGTCTATTTTCAAAAGCTACTGAGGAGGAGACTTGATAGAATAAGCATTAATTAATTCTAATTAATTAATTAGATTTTAAGTTTTGCTGTAAATTCGCTGTAAATTATGCTGGGGGACTTCAAAATAGTATTTCGCATAAACTATTTAGTACATATTGGTGACAGGTAAAATTCAAAAGTGTATAAAACAAGATGTCGAATTTCGACAACTGGGCGATACTAGTATGTATAAATTAAGTTCCAATTTAAAAAAAATGTCCGCGAAGAAGCGTTCGTGATTAAAAAACTAGGCGTCGTGATCGTGCACGAACGTGATTGAAAAAACGTGAATGTGCGTGATTTACAAAACCATCAACGTGAGCGTACGTGAACATAGGCCAAAATAACCCACGCGCCCATCTCTAATACATATCAAAGAAAAATTAATATGGTTTGTTATGAGGTAATTAATAGAGCAACAGAAGCCAAAGCAACAATTTCAAAATTTTTGTCTGTTTGAATGTTTGTACGCGTGTCACTCGAAAAATAATGCATGGAATTGAATGCAGTTTTCACCAGTGAATTGTTAGAGGTCTAACTTAAAATTTAGAAAAAAATTAGGGAGTTGCCACCTGCAGGAAAATTGCAGTTTAAGTAAATTGACAATATCAAACAAACATTGTAATACGGCGGTCAAAAGAAAAAGGTTTAAGTCGTAAATGTTTTTGTGGACGATTGGCACCTGTTTGAAAATTTTAATTTAATTTAATTGATAAGATAAATTGTTTGAAAATCTTAATTTAATTGATAAGATAAATTAAATATGGCAATATGGGTATCAAACTAAAGAGGTTTAAGAAAATTTACTGCCAAAAATACTTTTGAGTAGGGTTGCCACCTGTATGAAAAATTGTATTCAAATAAATTGATGAAATAATTTAGATATTACAATACAAAAATATTTTTGAACGGAGTTGCCACCTATTTGAAAAATTTAGTTCAGTTAAATTTATAAGAAAAGATAAATTATTATAAATTATTGTGTGTGTGTGAATTAATTATTATAAATTATTATATTGAGTTAGTAAAATTTTGGAGAAAGTGCGTGTTATGTAGACTCGAGTCATACGATTATAAATGAAAATCCTTGGAGAAAGTCGATGCCCTACCTATTTTATAAAAAGCTTCGAAAATATATTAACCAACACATGCATTCATATAAAGTTCTATATTTTACTAAATAATAAATTGAAAATTTCTTTGAGAATCTCACTCTCTATAAATAAAGCTCTTTAAACCTAGTTTATTTTTTATGAATGATGCCATGAAAGTCTTCGGAGGGTTGGTGGGTTGGTTGAAATGGTGAGTTTAACAACACCAATTAGCACTTATGCGTGCCGTTTTAAAACCACTACTCGCAATTTACTCCGAAAATAAAGTACGAAAAGAAAGCAACAGAAGTCGGTTATTTCTCTCTAATCCAGCATGTGGAGTTCAAGAACATCACTTATGTCTGTTAAATCGCAGTAGCAGGGTTAGTTTAAAAGCCTGATTCTAGTCGTACAAATACTCCACCGTTTCTTCTATATCTGCTGAATTACAGCTTGTCTTGGCATGGATTCCAACGGCCCAGTGCCCTGTGTAAACAGCAGTTAGTTTTCGGAGGAAGTAACAAAAATATTCTTAAGTCACCGTGAAGCACGCCAGGTAATTGCTAGTTATAACAATGTAAAGCTGTTAGTTGAACTTCTCCGTCATGAAATTTTTCCTGACGATTGCGGATAAACTATAGGCTGAACTTGCCTTGCATAGAGGTCAAGGACTTAAAACCACTCTCCTTCAACTGATACCAGTAATGCCCACAAATTGGGTCAGCCTTTCCACGTACTAAGGAAACTGAAATGTCATTTCATTTTTTATTAGACATTAATGAAGACTTTCTAAAGGGCAGATCCCTTTCCGCCGCGCACTGCTAACCACTACGTCACAGCGATCGCAATAACAGTCACTCAGAGAAGTATTCGTAAATTAGTTTTTTCACAAATATTCAAAATGTTTTCCATCATAAATCTTTTTCGTTAATTTTCATTTAAAATATAGCTCATTCTATAACAAAAGCCATATAATTCATTCTTGCAAACTTTGCACAAATATCATAAAAATGAATCAAACTTAAAAAAATGTTCATCAAAATCTCAAACTTTTTATTCAGAATTTTTAGAAAAAAATACAGTATGTAGTTTTGTAGCCCGCTCAATTCTTGTAAAATAAAGTGCAAGTTTCAAGTAGCTACTTTTATATGGAAGAAAATGCGCAACTCCCCCCGCATCTAAAAAAACAGCAGTAATTTTTAGCTACTGGAAACTTGCACTTTATTATAGCAAAATTGAACGGGCTACAAAAATGCATACCAAAAATTTTTCTAAAAATTCTAAATAAAAAGTTTGAAATTTTGATGAAATTTTTTTTAAGTTTGATTCATTTGTATGCATTTTGAACAGAGTTTGCAAGAATGATTTATATGGTTTTTATTATAGAATAAGCTATATTTTAAATGAAAATTAACGACAAAGATTCATGATGGAAAATATTTTGAATATTGTGAAAATACTAAATTACAAATACTTCTGTGAGTGACTGTATATATTTTAAAATAAGATCTTTCGATTGGTGTTATCAGTTTTTGAATATCTCCTTTAGTGCTTATTTATAATAGATTTGTTATAGGATGTGTACTGAGACCATAGGTCTATTGGGCCTTCAGAGCTCATCACAACACGTCGTCCTATTATATCGGTTATTTAGTACAAATTTAACTAATAATGCAGTCATACTAAGCAAATTAAGATTTTTCGAATGGCATTATCCATTTTTGGATATCTCCTTCAGTTTCCGAGAAATTGAGTAATAATTTTCGTTAATTTTGTAAAAGTTTGTATCACATTTTTTCGTATTTCATACAAAGTGGCTGCAAAATGTTTGACAAATGTAGCATACGATAAAATTTTACTAAAGAAAACCCCCCATAAACTCAAAACTAATTATCAATTATCAATACAAATAAACAACCCTATTGCGAGTGCTGCTTCCTCGTTCAATAAGTGAGTGTGAATGGTTTTTAGTCACCCATCCTTCTAAAAACAAACAGTTGTAGAAGGATGAGCGACTAGAAACTGTTCACAGTCGCTTATTGAACGATAAATCGACATTTACAATACCATGGAAAAGTGATAATCGAAGAATTTTTTTCTTTTCGTTCTATGTCGGTTTTACAAAGTGTTCACCTTTTGTTACAACTATATGATACCAAAGGTCTATATTTTACATTACATTATTTGATTTACCATATTTACCGATGCAACACATATTCACAACTTTTAACAATAATCTGTTTTGTTATTTAATTTTAGTCATTTTTTTATAAAGATATATTTATTATTTAACAAAAACCACATAAAAAATACTAATGGAAAAATAACCAAGTAAAACAAATGCCAGAAACTAAAGTCTAGAGTGTAGACAGTTTATATATATAATGTATAAGAAAAAGTGGTGAAAAGGCAATTTTTTCATTTGAAAATGCGCAGGCCCGAAACTCCTTTCCGACCCACGGTTTCTTCTTCTTTCGCTTAGAATTATCTAAAGAATCCGAAAACTCCATGTGATTTATTAAAATAAGAATCGACCCACGCTAATGTGTATATTCAAACCGAACAAATTCGATTATCATTATGTATGTAAGTGATAGTAAGCTTTCAGTTGTCGTAACTGATCACTGAAAAATATCTGGAGTGTTCGAATACTACTAAATCGATAACTGAGTGGAAGATCGACCCATGTCGGCAGCCAGTTCGAAAACGCCCTATCTCAGAAAACTTTTCCACAATACTCTATATCAGAATTCGGTTCAGAAACGCACTAGTTCAGCTACCGATTCAAAAACACCCTACCTCAGCACATTTTCAATGTATTTTCAGCTGAGATGGGGCATTTTTGAACCGAATTCTGAGATAGGCCGTTCTTCAATCAAATTCTGAAGTGGAGCGTTCTTGCAGTGTTTTGATATAGGGCGTTTTCGAACTTGGTGCCCAGATACTAGGTCGATCTTCCACTCCGGAGTCGATATGAATCTAATATGAATGTACTGCTTAATATGAAAACATAAATACATACTATTATACAATAAGAAAATTAATTTACATATTTACCTTCACCGGTGCGGTAACCTTTTGATTGGGCATTCATATTGGAAAGTACACTTGAAATATTTGTTGTTGGTAGTGGTAGTAGTGGTGGTGGTGGGTGTTGCACTGGTTTTGGTCGCTGTGGATACACGTTGAAGGCTTTTATTAAGTGTAGTAGGAGCAGAAAACAACTATGGTAGTAGAGCGCGTCGTCCAATAGGTTTATTTATCGTGCTAAATGCACTAATGGCAACTGATGATGAAAATGCGTAGAGGCACAAAACAAAATAAAACTTAAAATTGCATTCGATGTTCTAGTCGCAAGTTTTGTCAAAGATTATTTTTTAATGGTTTATCGTTTTAAAGATTTAAACACGTTCACTTGTTTACCGTTTTGTAAGGAGGCAGTGACAATTCACTGAAAGCCTTTCTAAATGTATGTGTTTGTTTTGTATGTATATGGTAAATGCCGAAACACAGCGCCTTTGTAGGATTGTATGACGAAAGCTTTTTAGTGTTATATCAATCGCTTTTGTTGTTATGGACTATTTTTTAATGTTATCGTGCTTACTATTGAATTATTTAAGTGTTTGCTTCTTTTACTAAAATTCACGCATACTTTCAATCGTTCATTTACCAATTGTAGCCTTTTTGCGCGACCTCGAACAGCTGAAGTAAGCCTTTTATTATCCTATTGTTTTTATTTTTATGCAGTGTTTTTTTTATTATTTTTGATAGTTTTTTACGCCATATTCATATTTTGGGGGAAGTTTTAAAGATATAACCGAAAGTGTTTTCAACGTAAAACCTAAACCGATAGTGGTAGCTTTGTTGACGATACGCTGTTTGGATGTATTTTTGGTTGTTTGAGTACTGGGCTGCTATTTATGTTACTCTAAACTTTAAATGTAGCACAGTTACTTTAAAACTTATTTAGAAACTACTACAGTTTACAGCACTCCTTTCTCCAGTACCCCAGATCGGCCGCGCTTCTGCTTTTCCACAACTGTAGTAGGTGCTCCAAGAATGTTTATTTTGTAATTTTATGTTTGTGTTTAAGGGTTTTTTTTTGCTTATGCATATAAGCTTATTATGTATTCACTTAATTAATATAAAATATAATATAATAATATACTATAGTATATATGTATCGAAGTCCTTTAAGATATCACGAATTTGTTTCAATGTTTCATTATCTTCATTTGCATTTGCTTTAGTTGTTTCTGTTTTGTGTTGTAGTTTTATTTCTAAGAATTTTTTTATAGTAATTCTATTTTTTTTTTTAACTCTATTAATTCAATTTAAATTAACGAAAATTTCATTTGTTGCTGTTTTGTAATAATAATCTTTGTTTTTTGTTGCTGTTCCTTACTTTTCTGTTTATAGTTTATATTATAAATTTACAATAATTATCACAGAGTTGTTAAATCTTTCTTTGAATTTTTGTTTGTGTTTTGTGGTTTTTATAAACTCTTGGTTTCTTAATTCTCTCTTGTTTTGCTATTGTTGCATATTATCAATCACACATACACACTGTAGGTACTAGACACATTCACATGCGCACACATCCATTTATAGTATTTTTGTTTTCCATTTTGCTTAATGTAGCTATTATAAATTTCCTCGGTTTGTTGCTGCAGTCTAACTAAATCAGTTCCGGCTTTCGCCTTCTATCTCCACTCTTTACCCGGACACTCCTTCTAATATGTCCGTGAGGGGTGTACAGAGTGAGCGTAGCAGGCGCCCCTCAGCAAATGACACTCCAGCGCCTATACGTCCTCTTGTTTTGCTTTTTCTTTTTACTTAAAGATGGTTTTATTTAAGAACTTCGTTGCTGATTCAAATACTTATTGGGTTCTTGTTGTGGTCAGTTTAGATATTTTTATTGTAAAATATGTATTTTGTTCACATGTAAATGTGGCGTAAATGTTTTTTAGTTTATTTTTGGATATTTTAATTTTTTGTTTTGCTAATTTCGATTTCTGCGCTTCTTGCTAAATAATAATGTTTATTATTTATTTTTAATTTTTCATTCAAATATTGGTTTTTTGAGTGTTTTAAATTTATTTTTTCCGTTTTAGGTTTTTGTTGCTAAGTTGCATTTGTTGGTTTGAGTTAGAATACCTTCATTACAACTTTCGACTAATTTGCTACTCTACAGCTTCTTTGTACGATAAACTGACTTTCGCTTATTCTTTGCCTTCCGTTTGATTCATCAGTTGTTCGGTTCGGTTTTATTCGAATGAAGTGTTTCGATGGCTTTTTATTTCCGCCTGAAGTCGCTTAGGACTGTGTGTTGAAGGAATTTGGTTCAACTTTCTTCTGAAAGATCTGCAATTTGTTTAGAAGCGTTTATAGTCTGTTGAATCGTATTGTTGCTGTAGACCTGTAGTACCTGGGTACGCGGTATTTGTTAAAGTGGCGGGTATTTGGCCAACTATGCGTAAGCAGTAAAAATTACGGGTGCTGATGTGTTGATACTTGCAAAACGGAAAATCCAAACGGCTTTTTCAACGCTGTTTTTGTTGCCTAATCTTTATCGATTGGTTTTCTTGGCTTTCTTTCACTTCTGTAAGCACACTTTCAGCACTTAGCTATCCCCAGTTCCCACAATGAACCACCAAATATGATCCCAGCTGTCTGGTTTTTTTTTTGTGTTTCAATGGTTCTTTTTTAACACCTTTTAATATAAAGTTTTGTTGCGATTTACTTATCCAGTTCTTTGTTTTTATTTTTTTCACAACACTTATTTTTTAATCTGAAATTTTTATTTTTGGTTTTATAGTTAATAATTTGTTGTTGTTTTTAATTAATTCTTTTATTGCGTTTTGTACTTTAAAACTTTTCTTGTTAGTTTTCTTTTTTGTTGCTGGTTGTGTTGCTTTTGTTTATATTGCGATTCCAATTTACAGCTGCTAGATATTTTTATTTTTCAAACTGCATCCTTTACCGATCCGCTTCCGTTTAAAATCTGTATGGATGTTATGGAGTGTTGATGGTCTTCAAAGGAGATGTGTTGGGGAATTTGGTGGAGTGTTTATTTGATTAGAGTGGGAATAATGGTGGTTTAGGATTAAATTTTTGGAACCTTATATACCGCAAATTGTGAGAGTTGCACAACAATATATACTGGCGCGAGGAAGTCTTTTACGATGTTGGCAACTATCGCACACGCTGGACGATTGCGATTATGTGGTTATTATTATAATTTTTTTTTTTGTAGATTTGAATTGCTTTATCGGTAAATAGTCTATATCTGCTGTTGATGGCAATGTTTACTTTTTGTTTTCAATAGCGTCAGACATCGGAATGCTCCTTTTATGAGTTTATGGATTTATGATTTTCTAAATTTATATTTTGTAACTTATGATACACTACATTAGTTAACCATGTGGCAGAGTATTCAGATGAAAAGTATTGTTTCACATTTACTTGATTAAACCGCAATCTGAAGCAAGGGACAAGCCCGTTTTGAGGCAATTACTATCTCCGTCTAAGTTGTTTGACCTATCTGGCTACTCCAATCGCCTCCACCTTGAGATTCTTGAAAGTATGTTGGTCAACTATTTTATGGAACTGATACTGAATTACCTTTGTTTAGACATTTTTAAGATATTTTTTTTTGTTTTGTTTATTTTAGGCATAGGGAAATCCAATATTGTTGAGTATTGAGAAAAAATTCTGATGCATTTGCAGCAATTTGTAATCAAGTTGACTAAGTTGGTTTCCAACAACAAAATATAAAAAGTCTGGCACACGCGCGGATGTGCACACGCGTGTTAGCACTGTCTCGCAAGCGTTTGCCGAACGAACGTTATTTGTTTTTAAATGCTTTGGATAAGTAATAAATTTTGTTATTTTTAACTTTTTAATATTAAAAAAGTTTGGAACAAGAAATTAGTCGCCTTAATTTCTAATTCCTCCACCATAAATTACGCCTTCCTTGAGCTCAGTCCTTTTTGTATTTTTAGATATATTTTAATCGTGCGCGATTTTGTTGTTGGTTTTTGTAATTTGATTAACTTGTTTTGTTTTTGTAAGTTTTTGTTGATTTTGTTATTTCGTTTTCGATGGTGTTTTATTATGATGAGAATAGTTAAGTGTGATGTCAAAACGGAGTTTTAGTTACAAAAGCTGAAAATATTAAAAAGATATATGTACATAATATTATAAACAGTTTACGTGTTGAAAGAGCATAAAAACTGCACACAGAAATTTGTGGAATGCTGCTGAAGTGACAGTCCTGCCCAGATGTAAATCTGTGCCGTTCCGGTTACGTACGTACATACATATTGAAATAAGTAAATATACTCTTACAATATGTGTTTACAGTTAACCGATTTTTGGGATTTTAGTTCAACTTGTAAAAGAACATCTTAGTACTATATTTATTCGCAAGCGCGTTTATAAAATATGCTAACTTTGACTCTTTATACTCAAAACGAGTTGTGCAGCTAATTAGCCACGATTGACTTCCTCTTTGTTAAAACGTATTTATTGATTTCTTTTTTTGTTAATATTTTGTATACTAGCTGCTACTTTCGAGTTTAGTTTAGCATCTTCGTGGCATCCCTTCAATGTTAATCAAAGGTCCTTTAAAATGATATGCTAGTACTTTTTGTACTATTATAAATAATTCCAATATGGGCATAAAACATTTACTTTGCGGTCAACGGCATTGAATTTCTGTTCAACTTCGTTTCTTGGAGGGCTCATGAGGACCTTTACAGTTAAATTGTAGGACCTCGCAATGGGAGACTGATTGCATTGTGTGGTGTTAGGGAGTTTGTTGCCTGCCGGCCCCATTGCGGTGTGTGTTGCGGAAGGGGGTGCTGCCCTGTGGTGGTAGTGGGGGCGTCGCGGGGGGAATTCGCGACTGAGCAGCACAGCAGGGGCCCACATAGTCACTCGTCCAATCTCGCGTAGAGCACAGTACGGAACACGCCCGTAAGTAGTACCAGCCAATGTAGGAATTACACTTGACAGTTCTCACATTACGGTATATTCTGGACCCACACACCGAGCAGATTGTAGGAGTTGCAGGGGCGGCGGTTTATTGCTGCGAGTGTGGTTCTGTTCGAATGGGTCTGTAGTAGTTTTGTGTTGAGGGCGGTTGAGTTGGTATTAAGTTGCTAAAAATCGCCTCCTTTTTTGTATTTTTTTTTTAAGCATTTTCTTCCATACGAAGTATGTTCGACAATATTTTTGAAGTGAAACTTCTTTAGCGGCGATTGGTTGGTTGGGAGTAAATTGGCAAATTCCACGGAAATTGCACACGGAAATGGTGCAACGGAAATGATGCAACAGAAATGGTGCAACGGAAATGGTGCAACGGAAATGGTGCAACGGAAATGATGCAATGGAAATGGTTGGGGCTGAAACAAGTGATTCTTGTGTGTATGCACATGGTATTGATTTAACAAAAACTTGCTAATAAAAGGTTAAATAATAACACTTAGAAAAAGACCAATACGAGAATGAAAGTAAAGGTGAGTACGTACATAGATAAAGAAAAGGATAAAGGCAAAGGTAAAAATAAAAACAAAAACAAAGATGCGTAAAGATATAGGCAAAAATTAAGACCAAGGTAAATTTGAACACTTCACTTATGTATATAAGGGCAAGGGTGAGAGGAATATGTAGCTGAAGAAAATGATATACATAAAAGTAAAGACAAAGAGGAGGATGAGGATACCGATAAAAGTAAAGATGAAGATAAGGGGAAGAAAGATTAAAATAAAGGTAATTAAAGAGAGAAGGATATAGAGAGACACAATCTGGGAATTATTTTGGTATCTTAGAGATTTTCGGGATTCTCGAGACTTTTCGATAAAATCGATATTTTTATTGATTTTGTTATCGATAATTATCGATTTTGTTATCGCTATTGATCGATTTTGTTATCGCTATTTATCGATTTTGTTTGCGGTATTTATCCATTTTGTTATCGATATTTGTCGATTTTGTTATCGATATTTATCGGTATATATCGATTTTGTTATCGATATCTATCGATTTTGTTATCGATATTTTTATCGATTTTGTTGTCGATATTTATCGATATTGCTATTGATATTTATCGATATTGCTATTGATATATTTATCAACATTCATATATGTACATACATATGTACATATTTCGATATAATAATAGATTTTGTTATCGATGAATCGCTATATTTATCAATATTATTGAAGTGAAACTTCATGGAAATGGTGCAACGGAAATGATGCAACGGAAATAATTGGGGCTAAAACAAGTGCTTATTGTGTGTATG